TGCTGCCTCTGGGCTCTCCCGATGACCAGCTTCCCAAGGTGAGGGCACCTCTGGGCTGTGTCGCTGTGACCTGTCCCCGTGTGGCCGCTGATGGGTTCTCGAGGCCTCTCTGTGGTCCGCCTCCTGCCCTCTTACCTAGAGCCCTGGCCACGAGGCTTGGGTGAGGTTATGAGGCTCCCTGCAGGGGGACAGCCTGGGTTGGTCACAGTGGGCACGGATGGCAGTGTTGGGCACACACACTGGGCTCTTTACTCAATTCCGAGGCATCAACGTCCGATTTCTGAGGTGGAGTGGAAGAGCGGCCTTGGGGGCTCCTGCCGGCCCTGTCCCTCCTCTCCCTGCTCCTCCTCGGGTTCAGGACTCCTGTTGGCACTGGCGTCAGTCTTTGTCCCCAGGTCTTTACTGAGAGCTGCTGGTGCCGGGTGTTGCTCAGGTTGCCAGGACCCATGCTCCCCTGGGGGGTCCGGGAAGGGCCCACGTGTGACACCCTGTGGCAAGTGCCCTGGGGAAATAGCAAGCGGACCCCAGCTTTGTGGAGAGTCGGGCTGGGCTCCTGAGGGCCATGTGGCCAGCAAGGGGAGCCGCAGCTCTGGGCACAAGGGACAGTGGGTACGTCATAGGCTTTGGCGTGGCCAAGGGGGGAGGCCTTGGTGGCCAGAGCAGAGCAGTGGGGGGCCAGGTGCGAAGGCGGAGCCCCAGGAGGAGGGGAGCAGGGGGATTTGGTCCCTTTGATGACGGCCAGCTCCCTGTCCCCAGGCCGCGTCCCCATCTCACCTGGTCGTGTGGGGAGTCGTCTCTGCTCTTGTCCCATGAACCTCTGGGTCCTTCCTGGGGAGCGGAGCGAGCCCCGGTTTCCCTTGCTGTGGTGTCTCCCTGGGGAAGGGGTGGAGCCCACCTCCCTGGGCTCTGCCCCTTGTCCCCTGCGGTGCCTCTGCTGCCCTCCCCAGCTCAGTAGTCATGACTGTCGTCAAGTCCACGGGTGGGCGTGTCGGGGTCTTGTGCCTAGAGCAGGTGGGGGCGTGTGGTCCTGCACCTGAGGACCTGGGGAGGGGGAGGGCCAGACGTGGCGGAGGGAGTGGCGTGGCTGGGGTGGGGTGGTGAGGCCGCGGGGGCTGCAGAGGGAAGCCAGACCCCCACCCCCGCTGGTCAGCCCTGGCGGGAGCCGTCCTCCCTCCCAGAACCAGTGCTGGACATGATGGCCGGGGCAGGCCTCCGTGCGGGCGGGGGCCAGCGAGCACTTCCTCCCTGGCCCTCCCTCCCAGGGTTTCACGTTGGTGACTAGGAAAGGGTGTCTGTGACCCTGGCTGTGTCCCCTGGGCTTGCTGTGGGCCCAGTTCCACTTGGGTCAGCCTGGAGGGCAGGGCGGAGGGCGGGCCGCAGGGTTCCTGGCCACACGTGTGCGCCCGGGCACACACACACCAGGCGGCTTCGCCACACCGGGAGCTTGTTCTTCCCCTGGCTGCACAGTGACGGGGCCTGGGCAGTGTGTCACTTTCCTCTCGGAAGACAAGCAGGTGAGGGGCCACTGGAAACGGCCGCCGCCGCCAGGCCAGGCAGGAGCCGCGGGGGCTGAGGGAGGCGAGAGGTTTTCGTTGACATGAGCACTCTGCGTGGTCCAGGGCCACGTGTGCCTCATGTTCAGGATCAATCAAACACGACTTCAGGGGCACCTGTGCCTGTCCTCTGGTCTCTTCCCGGGGTCCCTGGGTCGCTCTCTGCCCCTGGGTCCCCAGGTCCCTCCTGACTGTCCAGTGCCCTGGCCCTGTCTGTGGTGGCCGGGGGAGGTGCAGCAGGCGCAGGTGCCAGGCCCTTCTCCGCTGTTCCCCAAGCGCCTGCGGGGGGTGGGGGGACACCATCTAGGTGTCTGTGTCGCAGGGAGCAGGGTGGGACAGTCCTTGTTCTCCGGAGCTGACCTTCGAGGGGAGAGGTGGACACAGAACACTCACAGCCCCACCACACACGCTCACCGACACCCCAAATGGCCAGTGGCAGGGGACGATCTGCAGAGGGTGACAGGACGGGACGTCTGAGTGTAGACCCGTGGGGGGGCAGGTGGGCAGCGGAGAGTCAGGGGCGGCCCTGCAGGGGCACTCGCTGTGCAGCCGGGCACGGTGACCGTGTGGCGAGCAGAGCGAGCACAGGCAGGGGCGGCAGGAGGGCAGTGGGTGACGGCCAGGCCCTGTAGGACCGTGGCCCCAGGAAGCAAAGGGCTTGGGGCAGCTCATCCCAAGTGAACTGGACAGCCCAGAGCCAGCTCTGCTCGATGACTTTAGAGAAGGACTTCACCTCTGTGAGCCTCAGTCTCCACATCTACAAAATGGGACCCAGAGTGGCCACTGAACCCAGGTGCAGGTGGCCTGTGAGCTCCGCCTGGGCACTGAGGTGCGGGTCCCCTCGTGGTGACCCCACGGTGCCAGGCACAGAGCTGGGCCCAGAGAGCTGCGGCGGTTGTCCTGTCTCTCTGCTGCTGCACTCACCGGGCTGGAGGCCGAAGAGGTGAGAAACAAAAAAGGGAGGGAGGGGCCGGAGCCCTGCTGCGTGCTGCTCCCTACACCCCTCAGGACAGGACAGCCAGGGAGGAGGTGGGGACCCCTGGGAGGGACCAGGGACAAGAGGCAAAGCGAGGTGTGGGCATAGAGCAGGCAGGGAGGGAGGGGGCGTGGCCAGGGCTGGCCGGAGGTGATGGTAGCCGGCGCGCAGCCCCAGCAGGACAGGCAGGCGGAGTGCAGCCTCTGCCCGCTGGCTGGTTCACATCCCGGCTGCCTCTCCCTGGGCGCCCTGGACGGGGGTTCTGCTCTCTGGGCCTCAGTTTCTGCATTTGAGGATCAGGGTGTGTCTTAGGCTGGCCACGAGGACAGACTCGGATTAGGCCCGAGAGCAGTGCCCACACAAGCTGACCTCCGCCGGCGGCCACCGTCGACTCCCACAGCTGGTGCAGTTGCAGGTTCAGGCTCAGAGGGGCCAGAGGTCTGTCCTGCCTCCCTCGCTGTCCCCTGGGCATGTGGGCTGTCCCGGCTGCCTTTTTCCTTGTCTCTGGCGTGGGCTTTTACTGTCCCCTTCTTCCTCCTGGGACAGACGCACGGGCTAAATGAGGGGCGTGGCTGAGACCTTGGGAGAGGCCCGGCTGCTCAGCCCGGGTGCAGCTGCTGGTAGGGGTGCCCGGGTGCCCAGGTGTCTGGCGCTGAGCGCTATCTGTGTGCGGCTTGTCCTGGCTCTGGCCCCGCGGACTCGGGCAGGCCTCGGCGCCTGTTTCCCTGTGTTCAGGGGGAGAACAGGCTGGACGCGGACGTCCTAGGACTCACTCGGGTGGCGCCTCAGAACTGCTCCAGGGAGCAGCGCCGTCATCGCTGCCTGCTGATTGGGGAGCCAGCGCAGGCCCCAGAGCTGCCCAGGACGGTGCTGGAGCTCCCTGGACATGGCGGGCCAGGTCCCCCCTCCACGGGGGCAGTGAGGTCGCCCTGCCACTAACAGCGAGCCAGCTGCAGGCGCTCAGCAGCCGACTCATGTTCCCAGCGGGCTGTGGACCCGCCCCTGCACCCCTGCCCACGAGGCCAGGCGCTGGCCAGGACTGCAGTGCCTGGAGCCGGCTGGGTGGGGCTCCCATGGTCATTATAAACACGGCCAGTTCCTCTGTTTGTCCTGTCCTCGGGGCTGTGCCCAGAGGAAAGGGGTGGCCCAGGCAAATATCCGGAGGTGTGCCCCTCTGCCCCTTCCCCGCAGGGGCACATGAGGCTGTAGCCTGCAAGGTGGCTTGGGGGTGTATGCAGGGGCTGTGGGGCAGCAGGAGGCAGGCCACCCGGACAGCCCCGCGCTCCTGGTCCTGGGTTCCTCTTATCTCAGTATCTGCTCCTCCCCCCCTGGGTTTAGTGAGGGGTCGCGGCTGACCCTGTGCCCTTAGCCGGCAGAGGCCGTGGGAGCCGCCTTCGTGCCTGACAGTGGGAGAAGGAGCTGATAAACAGCACGGAAAGTTCAAGACCAAGAACAGGCTGCACACGGAAGACGGGGAGGTCACGGGACACGGAGCAGGAACTAGAGTGCCCTGCGTGGGATGGGGTGGGGACTTTCAAGGTTGTAGGGACAACCCTGGGAGCCAGGACTAGAGACCTAGAGTTGAGCCAGGGAGCAGAGAGCGGCCAGGGCCACCAGGCGGACCAGGGGTGCATGGCTGGAGGACAGATGGACAGTGTTCAGGGCTGGGGAGAGACTGCACAGGGGCTTGCTGACCCTCCTGGGGTCAGAGAGGGGGCTAAGGCGGAAGTGGAGGGTGCCCTGTCCGCCCAGGTCTGCTTACCACACACCCGGGCCCTGGAACCCAGGGCCAGCAGAGAAACAGAGCCAGCGGGGGAACCCTGGCCAGCCCTGGCTCTGGCCACCTCTGGCCTTTATGGACCAGTTGAGACAGGTTGGCTGCCTGTCCCCACCCGCTTCCCACTGGGCTCCTGCTGCCAGACCGGTTCCCCTGGTTGGCTCTCCAGGAAGGCCTTCTCTGGCCAGGAATGGCCGCCTCCCCCTCGGAACTGCACTCAGGAGAGGAGCCCAGGAGCCAGAGAGCCAGGCCTGGGGTGGGGGCGTGTGGCCGCAGACCTTCTGCAAATACCCTCTCCCTAGGCCATGAGACGGCGCCACCCTGCGCCTAGCACTGTCAGGCACTGGGAGCCAGCTGGGAGCAAGACGGAAGTCCTCCTGGAGTGTCGCTCCTCACCCTGCTCCTCCACTCCCGCGGCCCCTCTCCGTCCAGAAGCCCCCCTCAGCCCGCACTGTCCCTCCCCGGCTGCTCCAGCTCCCTGGATCCCAGCTCCGACCACTCTGAGCTGTCTTTTTTTGGAGCCAGATTTTTTTGCCCCATAGAGACAACCTCATGAGGTCAGAGACTGTCCAGGTCACCACTGTGTTCCTGCTACCAGCCAGCTAAGAGCTGGGCACAGAGGAGGCCCATTGTCGAGTTCCTGAACGAGTGGACGGATGGATGGACAGACGGACATTTTCTCCCTGTTTTACAGATGAGTCATCCGAAGCCCCGAGAAGGCACATCACCTGCCCTTGGGCAATTCTAGCCCAGCCACCCTCAAACCAGGTCTGTGTCACCCCAGGGCCCAGGTATTAGGACATGGGGGGGGGCCCACGGCAAGTGGCAGTGCCTGGAGCCCTCCTCCCACAGGCACCTGCATGGCCTTCCAGTACTTGGTGTCACTGTGCCCTGCCCTGAGCTGGGCACGTTGTTCACTCGTTCATTCCTCACGGCGCCCTGTGGGATTGGCCAGCGCTTGGAGGGGTTCAGTCACTCACCCAGGGTCACAGGTAGCAAATGGCAGAGAGATTTGTGCTCCAGACACCTGGCTTCTCTGCCATCCTTTTGAGGGCTCCCGTAGGGTGCCACCATCACCCTCCCCTTGGGGGCCCCATGACAAGTACCCGGCACCCTGCCTGTCCATGGCTGTGGGTGGAGTCGTAGCTGAAGGTGGGCAGCAGCTGGAGCCCAGGGTCAGGGCCCGGCCAGCAGGGTCGGGGCGATGGCTGAGCGCTCAGAACACGCTAGGCCCGGGTGGGACCTGGAGGAGACTGGGCAGCCAGGCCTGGCCCTGGCCCTCGTGTCTGTTGGAGGGGGTGATGGAAACATCGAGCAGGGGACACGAGAAGCAGCACCAGACTTTTCACAAGTTAAGCCATTGCTGGGACGGGGTGGTTTTCCTTGGGGTGGGGAAGGATTCACTGAGCACTCAGTGCTGAGGAGGAGGGGCGTGGGGTGCTGGGCAGGGCGCCCAGGCAGAGGACAGCTGCCCAAAGACACTGATGGGTGAGGGAGGGCGCCCCGAGGTGAGAATGGAGAGTACTGGGGCGATCATGGACCACGGAGGGCTGCGGGGCTCTTCCCGTTGACCCCAAGCAGGGAGAGCTGCCGGGGGCTGCGAGCCACGGGGCCGTGCCTGACCTCCGAGTGCCGGACGGACCCAGGGCCGGGGGCCTGGAAGAGACTGCTGAGGAGAGGCTGCAAGGGACCCGGGCAGAGGAGAGGGAGCATCGGGCAGGTGTGGGCAGGCCCCACTGGCCCCTGGCCCGCCACTACCAGCATGTCCTCCCGCAGGTGCCCTGGTAGAGGAGCCTGAAGCCGCGGCGCCATGTTTGGGAAGAGGAAGAAGCGGGTGGAGATCTCGGCGCCATCCAACTTCGAGCACCGCGTCCACACGGGCTTCGACCAGCAGGAGCAGAAGTTCACGGGGCTGCCCCGCCAGTGGCAGAGCCTGATCGAGGAGTCGGCCCGCCGGCCCAAGCCCCTCATCGACCCTGCCTGCATCACCTCCATCCAGCCCGGGGCCCCCAAGGTACATCGCCGCCTGCCGCCGCCTCCCCGACCCCCACATCCCGGCGCAGTACTGGCCTCCCCACCCCCACCCACTTCCCTGCTTCCCCACCCAAAGCCCTTACTGGTCCACTGGCCTCCAGGCTCTGTAATCCTGTCCCCAGTGCCAGTCACCCAACTGCCAGCCTGCCCAGAGCCCCTTGGCAGTGCGGGGACAGGCCTGCTCCCAGGCAGTGACCAGCACCAAGTGGTCTGGGCTGGGATAGGGCGCACAGAGGAGGCCCGGACCCAGGCCTGAGGGTGAGCGGCCCAGAAGGGCGAGCTGCGGGCTGTGGAGGAGGCGGGCGGTGCCCGGGAGGCCTGGGGGGCTTTCACGTGTCCTGGGCTTTTCTGCCATCTTGAGCACAGCGACAGGCTGGGGTTGGAGCCGGGACGTGGCTTCAGCCTGTACTCTGCCCCCTGACCCCACCCCCATGTGGAGTTGAGGAATTATGGTCCTGGTGGCCCGGGGGTGCCAGGCTGGCCTTGGGGTGCAGAGTGCCTAGTGAGGCCACTCTTCATCCAAGGGTGATGGGACCCACAAGGGCTGCAGGCTGGGGCACTATAGCCAGCGGGTGGAGATGGGCACGCCTGTTGCTCGGCAGACTGGCGCCCTGGCAGGCCTGTGGCTGACTCATCCTCCCCCAGTGCCCTGGCGGGGAGGAGGCCGAGGTCATCGGGTTGATCGTGGACAAAGTGCTGGGCCTCAGTCTGGGGCCGCTGGGGCGCTCGTGGCCCTGCAGGGTGCTGACTGCTGTGGCCTCTCTGCCCCTGCTTAGAAAGCAGGGTTCACGTCCAGAGCTCTGTTTGGGCTTCTCCTGCCACACACCAGCCACAGCCCAGTGGCGGCCACCTCTGTAGGTGAGCACTGTCTTCTGTGCCCACACTGCCCCTGTGGCGCTCCAGGCCCTCCCTGTGGCCACTGTGTGCAGGCAGGGCCCAAACTAGCTGGCTCTGCTAGCCAGGAGCCCCGCCAGGAAGGGGCGCCTGTCTTAATTCACACAGAGGGGACCCTCAGTCCAGCACTGTCCTCAGGCCCCACAGGCTTTGTGTTGGCTGCCTTGGGCCAGGAGTCCCCACGCCCCCAGGGGCCTCTTGGCGCCCTGCCAACCCCGCTGCCCAGCCACACCCTGCGTCTCAGGGGAGGCCGGGCTTCCGGGCTGGAGCTCAGACTCAGGAGGCAGGGGCAGCAGCGGGCCACCAGGGGCTGTTTTCTGCACATTAGAGGAAGTCCTGGGCCCCTGTCCCTGCTGCCAAAGAGCCACAGCAGTGGTAGAGCCCTCCCCCAGCAGGTCCCGTGGTTGGCTCCTGTGGCCTCTTCCCGCCCGCCCCCTTCCGACTGGGCTGCTGCGTCTGCTGAGCACCTCTGTGTGCCGCGCAGCTCGGGGGCCCAGATGTCACGGGACTGGAAACTGATGGGAGAAAACGGTCACTGCCCTAGGAACGTGGCACGTGGCACGTGGCAGAGCCCCGCAGTGGACAGGGTGCTCCTACTGCACTGGGGTCAGCCCCTGAGAAAAAGAACCCAGGGAGAGGCGGGAGGTGGGAGCTGGCGTTCTAGACTTCGAGGGGCTGGGGTCAGCCGAACCCGAGAAACCCAGTTTGAACAGAGACCTGAAGGGTGGGAGGGGAGAGGCCATGGCTCCCTGGGAGGTGTGGGGTCCAGGTCGAGGGACAGCAGGTGCAGAGCCCTGAGACTCGCACCTTGTACGGGGCTTGAACCCTGGGGCACTTAACCACTGAGCCGCCTCCCCAGTCCATTTTATTTTTTATTTTGAGACAGGGTCTCCCTAAGTTGCTCAGGCCTCACAGAGTTCCTTAAGGCTGGCCTTGAACTTGGGATCCTCCTGCCTCAGCCTCCCAGGCTGTGGGGGGGGGGTGTTATCAGGCGTGGCCATCATGCCCAGGGTGTCTGCAGCTTAGCGGGTGTGGGAGAGCCCTGAAGGCCACAGCTCTGCCTGAGGGGAGGCAGGTGGTGGCCGCAGGCTGCATTTGCATTTGCCATGCGGCACCCAGGGCCCCCTTCCCTGCAGTTTGGGCCCAGGCATGTCCACTGTCCCTGCACCCCACCTCTGGCCTCCAGGGGAGCAGAGAGCTGGTTTGGGGGTATTGACCCTGGCAGTCTGTAGAGGAGACGTGCCCAGCTGGGCCCCGGGCACAGCGTCCTGTCACTCACGGCTCCTCAGAGCTGACGATGGGGCGGGTGGCTCCCTCCTCCCACCAGAGCAGGACTCAGAGCCAGATGAGGGGTTGCCACCTAGGGGTGCCGACCGTCCTGGCTCTGGGGTGACAGCCGGGCCCTGGCGAGTGCTCCTTCGGCTCCCTCCTGCCCTGAAGTGTGGTGGGGGAGGGCCCAGCCCCCTCCCCCGCCCTCCCGTCCCCCTCCATCACCCCCTGGCATTTCTTCATTGCGTCTCTGTCTTGTCTTTGTGTTGTG